TTATTAAAATTTTTAAAGTCAAGCCAAAAATTATGAAAATTGTTCCAATTAATTCTTGAGCATTTTTTCTAGGATCCCACTTAAAGGCCATTAGCCATTAAGAAACCACAACAAATTTTTACACTTTGCGTGCCAAAGGCAACAAAAGCCCAAGGCGAGTAACAATAACAACAAACAAACTAACCGAACTGACAACCAAAATAACAACAAGAGCAACAGCAACAACAACAATAACAATAAACACTGTAAATAGAGTTTCTTTTATTTATTTTTTCAAGAACTTTTTTACCTTTTGCCCCAAACTCAGTTTCAAGTGTTTCGCTGAGCGCCACTTAGTTTCTCTGTTGTTGTCGTTGTTGCTGTTGTTGTTGTCGGAAAAAAGCCATTAGAAAAAGGCTGCTTGATTCTGAAATGGGTTTGGCCGGGGTTAGCATTGTTTTTGTTCGACTAAGTCAACAAGGTCGAGGGTTAATGAAAGTTGGTCGATCGCTTCTCTGACCCTTTTATGTTCTTACACTTCTTTTTGTATCTAAATATATTTGGCTCGACTAGAAGTTACGCTAGAAAAGTTGAGTTTCTTACAAGTTTTTCTTAAATGTTTCTTTTATAGAAAAATTCACTTTATTCTTATTATCTGATCATAGTTAGTCTTATTTTATAATTTGATCATTGCATTGAACTTTTCACGTTTTTGTTTTTTGGCGGCTTGGTGCTTCTTACGTTCGCAATTCTTTAACAAAATCTCTTGAAACTTTCGTCGCATTTCCAAAGAAAGACCCGTATTGCGTAGATCCATATCTTCCAGCATCTTATTACAGTTGATGATCTTTAGCAAGTGCTTGCCAAAATCCTATCAAATAAGACCGTTTAGTCTAGATAAATTATTCCGCAAGTTCTGCACTCACCTGGCCCAGATCATTGTTTGATAGGTCGATGACTAGCAGCGTTTTCTGCTGGCATATCAACATCATGAACAGCTTGGTTATGCTCTCAGTTATGGAACAGCTGGCCAGATCCAGCTGTTTGATGGGCATCGTCTGCAGCGTATGGAAGATGGCTGCAGCGCCATCACTTTGGATGGGATTCAGTCGCAGCACAAGACGCACAAGGGGCACGTGAACCAATGTTCGACTGAGTGTATAGGCGCCTTCCTCCGCTATGGGGGACTAGCATAAGTAAATTATTTTCATATAAAATAAACTATTTACTTATTCTGTTGTTGGTTAGGTCGAGGACAGTGAGGGTGGCAAAGGATTCCTTGCCACACGTTTCGAGAAAACAACGTATGCCCGCATCGCCCACGGCGCAGTGCAGCATGGATAACTCCTTTAGGTGATGGCAGCCCTTGTCAAGGCTGTGTGCCAAGAAACGTAACTGATACGCCAACAGCTTCGTATTGTGAAGGCTGAAAAGTTTGAACCATGGTAACCAAGATATGTGTGGCCAAGTCATTGGGAGTTCTTACCAAAACTTGCGCAGCTCGTGGCACTGGCTAAGTCCCTTGGCCAACAGTAATATGTCACGGGCCGTTATTTGATTGCAGCCTATTTGGTAATTGATTCCAGCTGTCTTACTGCTGTAGCTCAGCCGCAGTCGCCGTAAGTCCGGCAGATTGCTCAGCAGGTAATCAAGCGGAATGTGATCTGTTTTGGATGGGTTAACTCATTATACTCTGCATGAACTTGTAATTTATTGATGATGTTTGCAATCGACAGCAGGAAATTCTTAAAGTTTCTTTTATATAACTCATTTCAATAACATCAGTCTTATAATATTTCTTTGCCAAATTTTAGTCCTGATTCATCATTCATTAGTCTGCTCACTAGTAGTTCATCATTAGTCTTCAGTCATCAGTCATAGCCTATTGCTCGTTAGTTATAAGTCATAATTCATCTGTCATCAATCAGTGCTCATCGGTCATCTGTCATCAGTCATTAGTCATCCATCATTACTCATTAATCATCCGTCATCGTTCAACAGTCACGAGTGATTAGTCATCACTCATTATTCATCAGTCATCACTCATCACTCATCAGTCATCACTCATCAGTCATCGTTCATCAGCCATCAACCATGAGTCATCAGTCATCGTTCATCAGCCAACAGTCATCATTCATCAGTCATCAGTTATCAATAATTCACAGGATATCAGTTTTTTGTCATCAGTCACCTTTCATTAGTTATTACCCATTATCCATTAGGAAAGGGTATACAAACTCCAGTAATCAACAGGAGCTCACTCACCATTGCTCTCACTGCCGGGTGGGGCGGGCTGTAGCCGATTTATCTCCAATTGATTTATGTACGACGCACAGATGTCCAAGGCGGCTTGCACATTACCATCCTGCTCGTAGTCGCCGGTTTGCATATTTTCAATAAACTCCTGCACATGTCGCTCCATGTAAATGTTAATCCAGCGTCTTTCCCTGCCGCGCGCCTGGAAGGGCGCCATGCGCCAACGCAGCTCGTAGCAGCGTCGCCAGAAGTAGTCGTCCCGTATGTGAGAGCTGAGCAACTGAAGCGGTAGCTGCGTATCCAGCTGGGTGAGTATATAGTTACGGTCCTGCCGTCGCCTCAGCTGACGGTACAACGGCAGTTCTGGAAACAATAGTCACAGGCGACTGTCATCTCGGATTGCGTATTTCGAATGTCGTCCTCTTACCGCTCCAATTGCTTACGATGGCGTCGAGCACAAGATGTCGCAGACTTTTCGCCTGATTTGCTTGGCCTTCTTCGGTCTCGGGCTGGAATTGGTCCAGTGATTTACTGTTGACACTGGGCAACTTGACATCATTGGGATTGAAATAGGCCTTGAAAGTGTCTATAGAGACGGTGCTGGGAAATTCGCAATAGCTAAAATCCATCTAAACAGTTCTGTGCTTTACAAAACCATTTTACATTTGCACTGAGGCATCATAACAGAGCTCTGAGTCGTTATAGAAACGTAAAATTGTTGTCAAAGCAACTTCTTGCTTGTTATCAACAGGGTTGCAAGCTCTATTAAAAAGAGTCGATGGTTCTGAACAGGGCTTAAATCAATTTTTTAGCATAGGATATTATAAATATTTATTTTTCAAATAAATTTATAATAARTTATAAAATTAATTTATTACAAGTTGATGTAGTGGATATTTGGGAATATAATATTCTAGGCGCTGATGGCGCCTTAACATGCACTCTTGAAAATCTCGAAACTGGGAATAATCCACTGTATGGCATTGCTCAGCATTGCCCTTTTTAAACAGGCTCCTCCGGAGCTCATTCATGATCGGCCGGCTACTGTGCACAGTCGAATAGGGATACATTGAAAGCCAATTTTTTATTTTAGGAATGTTATAGATTGTAGATCTGTCAGCGCATACGTTAGCTAAATTATTACTATTTAAAATAGGCTACTGGATTACTTGTCATTAAGAATTGTGTACCTTGTCATATTCTTGGACTTACTCATCTGGATAGTAATTTTCTTGTGGGTCTTTATCTTTTGTTATTCGTGGAATTGTAACCAATGAGTTGACATTAAAGCGCTTATCCTCCCAAACTTTGCCATATGTGATGCCCCACGGGTTGTACACCCATTTGCTCATGTCATCAAGCTTGAACCGCGGTATTGATACAGTCCATTCCGTTTCTCTTGTTACATCGCTCTCTGTTGTCTGATCCTGATTGGCAGCCAGTGCTTTAATCAAAACTTTATGGCTTTCTGGTTTTAAGGTTGGCTTAGATTCTGTATTATCATTTTTCTCACTTCCAAACTGATCCAAGACCATTTGAGACATCACGCCTTTTGAGACATCAGCAACGCTTTCCTTGGGTTTGTCATCATTTTGTGTTGGGGTCGAAATCTCTAGCGATTCGTGTGTATCATTTTCCAATTTGATCAAGGGTTTGGCGCCGATGTTACTCAAAAGAAGTATCTGTATTATGAATCCAATCAGTCAACGAATTTGATATATGTATAATTACAGCTTACATATACGAAGGCAATACTCAATATATAATTTAGGTCCATAGTACAAATAAGATCTTATATAAAAGAACATAAAAAGTGTAGTTTCTTAAAGTGTTCATAAATTTTTTATTTGGAATGAAACAAACATTTCAYAGCTAACTAAATTAAAGTAATAAATAAAATTAATAATTTTTATTATTCCTTGTTTTAAATCTAATAATATAAATATCAGTGATTAACATAAAGAATCATCATGGATACCTAAAAAAAACTTTAATTTGATCTTCAATCAAGTCTAATTATTGGTAATTTGTAATTAAGTTTGACATTATTGATCGAACAGTTTGAGTATTGATATATAAAGAACTCAAGTAAAATTCTTTCATCAGCCGTTCAGAATTTTTAACCTATACTATATAATATACCCTATGCAGAGTATGAAATATACGGATACAGCCGCGGCAATTCTGTTCAGTCAAGCACTGCCATTCACTGTCTGTGTCCGCGTCTGGGCGCATATTTGTAATGTGGCCAAGCGCATCGTTAAGTGCCATAAAAATAATTCAAAATAAATTGCTTTACATAAAAATTGGTTCGAATTCGGGCAGAGGCAAAGTCGCAACAGTTTTATAAGGTAATGTGTAAGGTATAATTTGGTCATAATAATGCGAATCATGAAAATTTAAGACTCACCCATACACACACGCATACACGCTCGCACACTCATACCCATGGACGCATCGCATAGACAAGCTGGGTTATTAATTTTGGCGTCGGATTTTGCTGGGTCGCCGTCGCGAAACATAAATAACGCGCTTTATACGAAACACTTTGCATATTTGCAGGCGCCGCACAACTAAGCCATAAAAATTACAAGAATCTGATGCGGCAGAGTCAAGAAGCCCAGTCATGTCAGCTGCGGATTCTGAGCTAAGTCCCAGGTAGACTCTCGTCGTGAACAACCATAATAAAAGAGACCACGTCAATATTATTGGCAAACTGAGAGTAGCCGAGACAGCAACGACTCCAATGATACCGCAGAATAACAGAGCGCCCTGTAATGACGTGTAATTATGGTCATAATCGCATTGCCACTTGGGACATTATCGGCTTGCCCCAAAACGACTTTGATATGCAAATGCCGAGCCACAAGATAAACATGTTTAACTCGCTGGATGATCCGCAATAGAGCGTGAGTGGCGGTATCTACGATATTATAATGTATAAATAGGTCTTAGACATAATAGTGTATAATAGACAACGATAATTCTTTGAGTTATGTTTTATATATAAACTAAGTTTTAAGCTAATGCGTATTTTAGCCTATCCATAAGTATAACCGAAACTATAGAAACTAGAAGTCGATTTATTTTAAAATCATCCAAAATTTTTCTGTTTCGTTAGTTAAAAGCTTCTTATCCAAACCTCATTGTCGATTTATTTTAAAATCATCCA